ATTTAGCTGCAAAGTGGTGAAGGCAAATGTTCAGCAATTTTGCGTTGCTTAGCATGGATTTTTGCCAGTTTTGATGCGGATTTTCCTGGATTTTCTTGTGGCTGCTTGCAATTTTCCAGTTTTCGCTTGAATTTATTGCTGTCTTTTGTTTTTTCTTGGACTGATTTTCACGTGGCATTTTGCTTCCGCGCCGCGGATCTCAGAAGAGCTGTAGAGTAGTGCTGCGCAGGTCACGAGGCGTAATGTCAGTTCACAGCACGTCGCCACAGTTCACATCAACTTACAGCGAAAGTAAGGTAGCTATCGTAGTGGGCTCGGGTCTGTGCAAATTTTTGGTGTGGACAAAGGTGCGCACCTCAGAGCGCACTCGAAACGGAGCGAGCGAGCAAGGCTTTTGCCAGGTAAGACTGATAGCTCGCGAAGGGCGTTTTGACGTAGGAGTGCACGAGTGCTGCAGAAGGGATCGCATCTGCAGGTAGCTTTGTAGGAACCCAGCTTTTCCTTGCCGAAACTTTTCTTACTTTTGCCCAGGTGCTTGTACCGCTTTGGTCAACGCGCAGGGAGCTTGGAAAGTCAGTTGAGTAGGAGTGACTGCGCAAGGAGTAAGAATAATTCGCTGAGATGCTGGTATATAGGAGGCTAGGTCACGTTTGTTAGCAATATGGCGTTGTGGTAGGAGCGTTGTCGTAGAGCTTGTAGGTCAGGTCCACGTGCCAGCCAAACCCGCNNCCGCCTTACCGTCGCAATCAGGCATCATCAGCGAGGAGCTCTCCACTTTGCCGCGTGCTCCAGAGTGCAGCCACTGAAAGCAGGTCTGCTGTGTTTGCGGGGTGCTTGGTAGGAGCTGGTAGGCGTATATCTGGTTGAGCGTTGCTGCCTACTGTCGAGTAGCGCGTGGTAGGGGTGGGGTATTAGTGTACTAGTCTTTGTTTGGCTGGCCCTAGCCCCGTCTTCAGAATCCTTGACCCACAATACCGCTGCTGCATTCGGCGAGAAATGTTTGTGTCTTTTGTTGCCGCTCTGCACATGTGAAAGCTCCAAAAAAACACGTGTGGCCCAGGTCTTTGCTCCGACTACTTCGCCATCTTCGCCGCTGGGACCTCTGAGTGAAACCTGGCAGCCGCTTCTGAGCCCAGTCTTCGCAGTAGTGCTTGTGCGTCCTTGCGTGTTTGGAGGGTTGGGTTGAAGGTGGTTTTGGTTTAAGCCCTAGCCCGCGGTTACCCCTAGGATGCCTTGCGTCCACCCTGCTTGAGTGAACCCTGATGCCTCTCCTTCCCTCCTGTCTGCCTAGGTCCAGGACTTCATCTTCGACTTCGCTGCCGTCGCCCTTGAGTGTTTGAATTTGTTGGAGGGTTTCGAGGGTTGTAGTGTAGGAGGTTCGGGATTAAAAGCTATCTTTGTTAGGCATTAGCATCGTTGTGAGCAGTATCAAGAAGTGAAGCCATGCTTCCAGAGTGTTTGTGAGCGCCGGTAGGTCAGATAACCCTCTTCGTTCCCGGAAACCCCGGGCCCCGCTGCCACGATCTTCGACATCTTCGTCAACTCCGAAGCGCTGGGGGCTTCAGAGTGATTGCGAGGGTTTTTGACAGAAGTGAGCGCTGGTGCGCGGTAGGAGTGAGAGTCGACATGATGTGTGGCAGGAGGGCGCTGCTAGGATGAGGGTATTGCGGGGTAGAGTAAGCAACCCTCCTCATTCCCGGAAACCCCGGGCCCCAGTCTTTTGGCCAGGTGCTCGTGATCACATCTTCGAGATCTCCGGCCTACGCATTCAGATCCATTTTTGCGTCAGCCTCAGAGTGAAATCAAGTGGAGCCGGGGGGTTTTGAGGGTCGTAGGTGGTTTTGGATTAAACCCCTCTCCCACGGTTACCCTGCTATGCTGCCCTTTGCATCAACCTTTCGTCGTCGTTGGATCTGCTAGAGCTTGATGAGTGGTGGTTTGAGTGCCTCGCTCCCTCTTTTGTGCCCGAATCCCACCCACCTCTCAGGTTCTCATCGATCTTCATTATCGTAAATGTCTGGGGCTTGGAGAGAGTGTGTCAGTTACCTAGCTGCAGGTCGGCAGTAGGCGAGTTGCTGGTAGAATCGTTGCGCAAACATTTTGCCTGCGCGAGTGTGTCTGCAGTAGGACCCTCAACCCGAGCCTTCCCATAATTCCCTATTCCCAGACCCTTCGACCGATCCTAGACGCCGTGCCGTGCCCTCTGAGTGAAGCCAAGTGACAGTTGTTTCCCAGTTCTGAGACTCATTAGGCCCGCCAGTTTTGCCGCTTTGCCGCAGCATGTTGAGGATGAGAGCGTCACTAGGTCAGTCAATCACCAGCTTGGTTGCAACGCGTTTGTGTTTGAGTGCTTGCGTTGATGAGTCAAGGGTTGTTGTGCATGAGTAAGAAAAAGGAATAGTGTTTAAGGAATTAACATCTCCCTCCTCGAATTCGATTATGGCCGCTCTTCCTGCGATAGCGGTGGGAGGTGTTCGTGATCCTCAGGGACCTGCTGGCGCTCACGCGAGAGTTCGGGCGCTGAATCCCCAGCGCAATACTTTTTGGATGAGGCAAGTACAGATCGACGCCCCGGCCGGAGGCTTCTTGGATTTGGACAGCATTCGGGAGGCACAGCCCTTTCTTCAGGATCTCCTGGAAACTCAGCTCCCATTCATGGCGAAGGTCATCATGCACATGCAGCTCTCCGAGGAGAATGCCACAGGTCAGGTCGTCTACAGCCGGCGTCGTGTTGCCACTGTGCCAATGCTAGTTCGCCCGCTGGCTCGTCCTGATGAACGGCTTCGTCGATACATCATCGCCCCCTCCCAGAAGAAGATCGAAGACCGGTTGGAGCACGCCAGATTCCACAACT